TCTTTTCTCATCTAGGTTTTATTTGTGGGCAAGAAGCTTGTGTACAGGGTGACCTGTGCCCTGTGACCTGGGCCAACAGGGAAGTTTTCTTAACACTTACTAATCCCGGTGCTCACAAGTTTGGTGGGGGGTGTTAGTAAGACAAGCTCGTGTTGTATTCAATACACAGCTAAGACCAGGACACCAAAACAGCAGTGTCTGGAGCAGGGAAATTTCTGTCAGGGGATGCATTGTGACAGCAGGGTGGGTGTGGGCTAGGTGAACTGGCAGGCCTGATCAGTGCTGAGTGCCACCTTCCCCTCTCCACCTTTGTTCCCCTGACATCTCAGGTGACTTAAGCTCCAACTCCTAGCATGCTATGAACTGGACTTCCAGAATAGGGGGCTGCTGAGAAGAAGGAAGGAGCTAGGCAGCCATATTGAATGGGAAAAAGGGTTGGAAGCCCCATAGTAGATGCCTCTCCTGATCCTTCTCTTTTCTGGCTTTAGCTCTTTGGCAGGCAACACCATCCATCTTCCTTGAGAGATTATGGCAGCCACCACCTTGCCCTTGTGGTGGATTCACCTTGGGAGTAACATTTTGAACTTTGGGTCTCTCCTCTCCCAGCCCTTTGTACCCTGCCCAACCTCTTGCTTACATTTCCTGGCAGGAGGTTCCTGGATTTGTTCTTTTGACAGCTCCGCTCATGGACCTTGGCAGCTCCCTTTGGTCTCTGCCTTGTTTGAATGAACTAACCAGGGGATGGTTGATTTCAGAATCAGGACAAGAGAAGGAAATCCTGTCCCCTACTCCCCTTCTCCTGCTCTCTATTCTTTTTGAATGCTCACTGATTAAAAATCTTCAAGTACACTAGAAATCAATTACTTCACTTTTATGCACACAGGTGGGCACAAACCCTTAGAATGGGCAGAATGGGTTTTTCCCCCTGCAATAGTTTAGGGTCCCTGGCACCCCCGGTTTTAAGGGTATCAGTTTTGGTTCCCTGCAGTTTTGCTGGTATCAATTTATTGCAAGTGGGCAAGCAAGGAGGCAGAAGGAAAAAAAATACCCATGTCTGCCTCTCCATCTACTGGAGGAAGGGATTTATATTGTTTTGGGGGAGTAGAGGTGGGGTTGAGATTGGAAAAAATACTAAAAAATGCAAATTGTCATAGAGTGAGATTGGCTGCTCCCTGCTGAATCATGGTATAATTCAAAGTTGGGTCCAGAACTGCAGCAAAACTAAACACCCCTTGTTTCTGAATACTGTCTGGGTAACCATGAACAAGACATCTTAGTTCCCTCTTCCATGGCTATTTTTGGGTCCCAGCAATGACAGGTCACCTGAAGGACAGCAACGCTCTTCCGAGTCTGTGCTCTGTGACACAAGTTGTCCACTTCTAAGAATGTGGTTTTTTCCCCTCATTTAAAATGGGTAAGGGGGGCCTCCCTGGTGGCGCAGTGGTTGAGCGCTGGGTTGCGAAGCTGCTCGCAGCCTCTGCAGCACCGGTTCAATCCCCGGCAGCTTCCCAGCTACCGGAGGAGGGTCCCACATGGTGTGCAGACCTCTCCTGCCGCCCGCTGCTCCCCTCAGCAGTGTACTTTGGTCCTTCTGCCTGCTCTGCTCCCTGCTCTGGCTCTGGTGAATTCTCTCACCCTCCTGCGCTTCTGACTGTACCCAGTGCTTGTATAAATAAATAAAAATAAATCTTTAAAAAATAAATAAATAAATAAATAAATAAATAAATAAATAAAATGGGTAAGGGTGTTTTTGTCCCACTGTTTGAAAGTCTACTTTGCTATTCTTTCAAGATAAGCAGGAACAGGCAAAGACCACCACAACCACCATGGACTCAACACCAGCCCCCAGAGGTGGGGTGTAAGGTGAGGGTGGACAAGTTGTTTTGTACCTGATCTCCTCTTTTCAAATTGAAGGGCATATGCTAGGAGTATCTTCAGACAATGTAAAGCCAAGATTGAGGAGGCCATATTGCCTTTGTGGGGTGAGAATCCCCAAAAAGTTCAGATAGGCTTGCTTTTTTTTTTTTTTTTTTAAAGATTTATTTATTTATACAAGCACTGGGTACAGTCAGAAGCACGGGAGGGTGAGAGAATTCACCAGAGCCAGAGCAGGAAGCAGAGCAGGCAGAAGGACCGAAGTACACTGCTGAGGGGCGGAGCGGGCAGCAGGAGAGGTCTGCGCGCCATGTGGGACCCTCCTCTGGTGGCCGGGGAGCAGCCGGGGATTGAACCGGCTCTGCAGAGGCTGCTGGCAGCTTTGCAACCCAGCGCTCAACCGCTGCGCCATCGGGGAGGCCCTAGATAGGCTTTTTTCAATAGGCCCAGAATAGGTCTCTTATCACTGTGTGGGAACCAGAGGTCGGAGCTCCATGACCCTTTGTTGGGGGCGGGAGGGTGGTGGTGGAAGTCTGCCATTACTTACAAGATGCACGTTGTTTGGGGTTGAGAGCAGTGGGGCCCTGAAGGTTGGGAGAAGGTATTTTTCTTGCTTATGTCCTTTACACTTCCTAAATTGAAGAAGAAAACATCACAACTTAAGTTTCTGGCTCATTTCCTAATTGTAAAAGCAATCTCTGTTCCCCTTTTTATAATCTAGAGGAATGATAAATTTTCATGCAATTCTAGGCTTCTCCATAAACATGTTCTATTGAAGAATCTCATCCTTACTTTTAGACTAAGGATGAGGTCATCCTCTCCTTGTAAGTCATGTGAAATCTCCCCCCTCCCTCTCCCCCCTCTGTCCTTGTCATCCCAGCTCCCAAATACAGGATGAATATTCCTGGTCTGCTCCATTATTCTTCATAATTTACAACTATGTAAACTCTCCACATATGTTATTAAACTGATTATTTTTCCTTTGCTACGCTGTCTGATGATTTTTGAACACTCATCCAGCTCAAGAAGAACTCAGAGGGGGGGCCTCCCTGGTGGCACAAAGGTTTGGGGCAAACCTATGAAGCTATCCGCAGCCACTGCAGCGCTAGTTCGATCCCCTGCCAGGGAGCTAACCTACATGGCGTAGCAAACCTCTCCTGACTCGCCCACTGCTCCCCTCAGCAGTGTATTTCAGTCAATCTGCCTGTTCTGTTCCCCACTCTGTCTCTGGTGAATCCTCTCATCCCCAACACCTCTGGTCTGTACCCCAGTTCTTGTATGCATAAATAAATAAATCTTAAAAAAAAAAAAAAAAGAACCCAGAGGGGTATGGGATGCTCTTGTGCCCCAGCACCTCCTACCTATCCACTTGTAACTTTGACTTCCCTTGTTGCACCTCCCTCTTGCTCGGGGGAGGGGGGGGGAGTATGTGATCCCCTGAAATCTTTGCCTAGAGACTGCATTTATGCTACTTAGGTGACTCCCTGGCCATTCTAAGGCAGCGGGACTACTTCATTTAAACAAGTCCAAACTGAGTACTTTTTCTCCAAAAAAAATTTAAGAACAAGACAATCAAAAAGGATACAATAATATAAATATGCCAAAGACTCGGATGTTATGTAAAGAGAGGTGTTAGCTGACGCCAGGTCAATTAGGGGCCACCACTGGGTGCCCAAGGAGCGCTTATCTAGTTAATGGAGATGCTCACTGAGTTGCTTTCTGAAGTTCCTATCAAGAAATGAAATTAAAATCACGCAATTAAAATGTTCACAGTTGGGGCTGGATGTTCTTGAGCTGATTGAGAGATGAAGAAGTGGACACACCACCATTTTGAAACAGCAATTGTCTCGGTAATTAAGTGTAATTAACTGACATAACTGTCTGCTTTTCCCCATATAAGACTGATTGAAATTCTAAGACTTTGAAAAACATTACCCCCTCTGACTTTTTGTTCCATCCTAACCAAAATTCTCACTGACATTTGAAGACTGCCAAAGGCGGTGATTTAGCACACCAATTCTAACACCAGTCTTACAAGATAAACAGATCAAGAAAATTGGAGAGAAATATGTTGGAGAATAAGGAGCTCCAGGCTGTCAATGTCCATCACTTCTCCTAAACCCATAAACTCTTGCATTTCCACAATAGAGAATAAATCTAGCAATATTTCTGAGAGTGATTTCTACAGAAGGAGCTATTAAATTGATAACCAAAATGCAGATTCCAAAGGTGAAAATAAAAGTACGTTGTTTTTTAAAACACCTTTTTCTGATTATTATAAAAAATCTGGAAAATGCTGGAAGAATAAAGAGAAAGTTTCTCATAATCTCACCACAAAGATGTAACCAGTAGATGTTTTCTTCTTTTTTCTTATTATATATACATATTTCAATTAATATTGAATACACTTTAAAACATATTTTTATGTACCCTGATTTTTTGCTAATCTTACAAATATTTTTCTTACTATTAAAGGATTCATAAACATCTTTGAAATGTCCAAATAAAATCTCATCAGATGGCCCATCACCATTTACTTGACCACCCTCTTATTATTGGGCATGCAAATTATTCACAGTATTTTGCTATTATAATACTGCAGAAAAGAACAATTTGTTGCAAATATTGGCCTTTGTTTCTGATTTTTTTCCTTAAGAAAAGTTCTTATAAGTGCAATTTTCTCAACAAAAGATTATTTTACTCTATTTTTTGAGACTTTTGAAGTTCTTGGTATGTTCTAGCAAATTGTGCCACAGAAAGATGGTCAATTTACATTTCCATCAAGGTAAGAAGTTACCTATTCCCTACACAATCTCCAACTTCGAGTATCACCTTTATAAGAAAAGTTCAAAAACTCTTTGTAGAGAAAGCTCATATGACAGGTTATATAGGTCTGGGGCAAATTGCAATCCAATTCAGAATTGCTCTGATATCCAGCTGTGCTTCCCAGCAAAGGTGAGGTCACATTGGGGCACCACCAGTTAGGTGTCCCCTGGGGGGTAGAGTTACAGCCTTGAGCAACTGGAGAGCTGACAAGCTGCTGTCATTTATGAGGACATCTGCATATCGGGTTAATCTGGATTCTGTCCCTATGTCATTCCCATTTCATTCTCCCTCTTTTCTAGCTGTCTTGACAGAAGATGGACACCAAGTTATCCTAGAGAAGGTAGAAGACTGGAATGTGGTAGAACTCATGGTGAATGAAGAAATTGTCTTCCGGTGCAACATCAAAGACTTAGAGTTTGGTAAGCCCTCCAGCACCCCTTCCAAGCAGTGATTTGCCCTCTCCAAGAGTCCTTCTTGTTCAAGTTTGAGTTGAGATCCTTTCTGACTCTTAAATTCCTACTCAAAGCCCTGTGTTCTATGTCACATGGATGAACTCTTCTTACACGACACACAGGAAAGGGCTTGGTGCTCTGGTTTTTTTCTTAGAACACTGGAAACAGAAGAGAGACAGAAGGAAAATGAAGTTTTAGCTCTAGACAGCAAAGCAATATGAAAGGAATTTAGGAATAATAGATTACTTTGTTTAGGGGGATCGGGGAGGGTTCTTGCATTGAAAAATGTATGTTTTCTTATTTGCCTTCAAAACATTTTCTATTATTCAAAAGTTGTAAAAAAAAAAAAAAAAGCCAGTTTTGATTAGTCTAGGTTTGACTAAGACAGCGGATATACCAGCAGTGCATGGCGTTATCAACAATGCTTGAAGGATTTCTTTGCCCTGACAAGCTCCTGGCCTGGAGCTAGTTAACAACTTACATGTCATGACCTTTGAAAATGTTCTCCTAGTGAAGATGGATGTATGTCTTCTATGATATCAAAGTGTTTATAAAGCTGGCCAAACAAAAATGTTTTCTATTTCCCTAGGAGGCGATGGTAAACTAGACCCGCTGTGCAAAAAGGCCAGGCAAGCTGTGCTAAAAGCCTACTGAGCTTCTCAGAACATGTATCTCAAGTCCATGGAGCAGCAGCTGCCCCTGGCCATTCTGTGATGCAAACAACAATGGCGATTTCCGGCCATGCACACCAGGCTCCACCCATCTGGACAAGGCAAGGCTGGCCTGTCCTTCAGCCTATAGGGCACAGGGTTTCTCACCTGGCTGCAAAATTAACAAAACCACATCATTTGCAGCATTTCTCCATCTCAATCCATAGGGAGAACCCTCCAATATCATGTATATATTGAGCTGAAGGGAATAATAAAATGCAATCCAATAACAAAGCACGATCCCTTACTAATAATGCACAGTTGCCAGAAGCATCTGAGATTCCATTCTATAGAGAGTAAAGAGCTAAGAACAGGTCAAATTAAAGATTGGGAGGGAAGGGTTGGGGGTTGGGGGGAGGAAGAGAAGTAGCCTTTGAAATCCTAAACCAAAAGTTAATGTCAGTATTCGGAAACCAGGCTATCCCTACAGATGTATTTCTTGTTCCCAATGGAAAAAATACATGCTAAAATATAATTACCTCGTCATATCTTCAATTATTCTCCTTCAAAACAAGAAAAGTATCTGCCTTCTTTGGCTTTAGTCATTCTAACAGACTGTTGTGAGAGAGCATGTGAGAGACCCCAGCAGAAGGGTAAAGAGGCTTCCCTGTCTCTCTGGAGGAAAACACAGCCCCGTGGAGTTAGGAAAAGCATTCAGTTGTGGCCAGTGTAAAAACTCAGCTATGTCAAAATCATCTTTTTACTTTCAGGCTCTATTCACCAAACTGTGATATATATTCTTAGTCATAGAGTAAAGCAGAGAGAAGTAGATACTGATCTAATGACGTAAAACATGAGGTCATGGTTAGAACACATCACTCTGTTCAGAAGAAAGATGGATTCCTTCACAGAAGACTGTGGAACCCTGGGCTCCGTGCTGAAAGAGACGGGCTTTCAGAGCCTCTACAGGTTACCAGCTGGCTCTGAGCATACACCCCTTCGGGGCCAGGTGCTTCCCTGCACCTGGGGAGCAATCCTTTCCATTGCTCCCAACAGCCTCAAACCCAGCACTTCAAAGGCATCTGGGACTCAAAACCACTTGTACAAGTTCTTTCTTGCATGTATGAAATAAGGAATATAATTTCCATTTTCAGCCCAAGCTTCACTTATCAGATTTTGCCAGAGATTACAAATCACTTATAACTCTGGAAATATTTGATCACCCTTAGTGAGAATCTGAAGCAAAAAAAAATTTCTCCCTCCTGGTGTCTGTTTCTGTTTTCATAAGTATTTAGTAGCCCTAGATTTAGTCCCTTTCTCTCAAAGTCTGGTCTCAGGTATAGATGTGGCTTTTTTTTCATACAAATATTTTACTACAAGATAAATACATTTTTATTAAAGTAAAATGGAAAAATACAATAAAGTATAAATGTGATGACATTCTGGTCTATTTCTATTCTGGCTACTACTATTGATGTCTGGATATGCATCAAGAGATAGGCATATCAAAATTGACTTCACCAATTAGAAGTCACATTGCATGCTGTAAGGGCAGGACTGGATACAGTGCAGGTTTTCTGATCCCATGCAGACCGGGTAAAGGAGGAGTCAGAGTCCTCAGTAGTTTTGCAGGTTTTTTATTTGGGGTTCACCAGGCATATGGCAGGCAGGGGTGCTGGCTGGGGGGCTGGGAGGCTGGCAGGCCTCCCAGCCCCCAGCAAGTCCTCACTCTATCTGGGCTTTCTAGCGTTCGTTCTGCTGCTTCTCGGCTTCGGCTGCGGCGGCTGCTGCTGCTGGTGCTGGTGCTGCTGGCGTCCCCCCGTGACGCCGCCCTTAAAAGCACAGTCTTAGCTCAGCTGAATCCCATCTACCTATGCCCACACCCTATTCCAGGTGCCCACCATCAGGCATGCATTCAGGACAAGGATCCATCATCTATCCTGATGGCGGAAGGGCAGAAAAGCCTGATATTTTCTTTACCCTACACATGCCCAGTTACACCCTTTAACTTAACATTTTATGCTGCGTACCTTCCCTTTCAACTTAAATTTTACTGTCCAAGGACTCTTCTCTTGAGTCAAGAATTTTTTTCTTCCGTGAATAGTGATTCCCACTTCATTGCCAAGACATTTTCTGCTGAGAAATGAAATCACAAGTGTAAGGGCAGGACAGGCCACTGAGCAGGTTTTCTGATCCAGCAGACCGGGTAAAGGAGGAAAGAATCCTGGAGCCCTCAGTGGCTTTTCAGACTTTTATTGGAATTTACCAGGCACACAGCAGGCAGGGATGCTGGGGGGCCAGGAGGCTGGCAGGCCTCCCAGCCCCCAGCAAGTCTTCACTCTGGGCTCTCCGGCCTTCTCTTATGTTCTCTCTGCTTCTCTCGTGGTTCTGCTTCTGTTTCTCTGCTTCTACTGCTTCTCTTCTGCTGGCGTCCCCATGACGCCACCCTTAAAAACCCCAGTCTTAGCCCAGGTGAATCCCATCTACCTATGCCCACACCCTATTCCAGGTGCCAGCCATCAGGCATGCATTCAGGACTGCAGGGTTCTGTCATCTATCCTGATGGCGGGAGGGCAGAAAAGCTTGATACTTTTTTTTTTTAATAAATTTTATTTTTATATTCCCCATACAATTGCAACCCCCCCCATTCTGACCCCAATCCCTCCCCTCCCCTCCCGCCCCCACCCCCCAAAAAGTGTCTCTGGTTCATAGTTTTTTGTTGATTTTGATTTTCGCTTTCTTATAGTTATTCATACTTTTTACCTACCGCAGGCTTTCCCATCTGCATTAGGGGGAATAACTTCAGCTCCAAGGGCTGTGGAATCTCAGCTCCACAATGCGCCCCCCCTCCCCGCCCCCGACAAAATTGAACCCTCTTGCTCTCCTCTGAAACACTCCAGCCCATATTTGAGTGCTCAGAGCAACCTCCCACTATGTAGGACCTCTCTCCTACCTTCCATAACCAGAGTGGAAGAAGGGCAGGTAAGATGAGATTTCACGAGTCTAAGAAAAGCTGAAATGCATAAAGTTTCTGGGAACTAACTGTGCCCACAGCGCTGTGTTCAGGTTTAGATCAGAGTTAAATGAGGAATGAATCAGTCTGACGAGGGAAAAAATCACAGGGTTACCTCTGGGTAAGTGGATGGGATGGATGAGGCAGAAGGACTGCAGGACTATCATTTCTTCTTCGTGTCTGAGTGATACAGTTAACAAGTTTGTCTTTCCCCCATTTCTTGCAGTTTCTCCTTATTTAGCATTAACAAGATGAATAGTTTTTCTTTCCCCATGTGTTGCAGCTTCCCTCTCCCCTTAATGAAAACAAGCTGGTGATCACCCGTCTCGGGCATTCAGTGACCTGAGTGTGGGTATTTGGGGAATGGGAGAGCTTTTCAAATAATGCTAAAAATAAAACCAAGAATTTGACATAGAAGTCATCTGTCTACTGACTGGCCCTTCTCTGTCAGTGATTAAGGAGAGCCTTCTCTTTGGAAACGCAGTAACATCTTGTTATAGGACAGCCCCGATATTGAACGGGTTGCCTGGCTGTGGGTCCTCACCAGCGCGCTTAGAAGGGACTTATTAATACTCCACTACAGGCACACACAGAAGGTTAATGAAAGGTTTATTTACAAGGGAAAAGGAAATAAGGAAAATGTACAACTCAGGGAGAAAATAGGGAAATAAAGTCTTTAATGCGTCCTACCCGATCCGCCGACCTGGAAACCCAAAGTCACTCTCAGAGCTGGCCAGACGCTGCTAGCTGGTGGAGAGCCAAAATGGGGCACCCCCCCCCCCACCCCGCCAAAGCCCACGTGTCTGGCTTTATACCCACCTGGCTGCTTAACCCCACCCTCAGGTCCCAGCCACCTTCCCTTTGGTGGTGATGGGATTTGGAGTTCCCAGTGTCTTTGGCTTTGGCCTGGGGTGGGGGTGGAGTCCACAAAGCCTGTATGGAATTAGCTTTAGGACATCCTTTTCCCCCTAACAATCTCAGTCTAAAGAAATAGATGTGCCTTGATCCTTCTTTTGTCTCCTTTCTTAAGTCTTCTGGAAGGTACTTCCCTCTGCAGGTAAATCGGAAGTGTGCCTTGCTCAGGATTGAGGGCAAAATGCTCCTGTCTTCAACAAGTTAGGATTCAAGGGCCTCTTTTCTTTTAATTGAAGTAGCATTGGTTTAAATACTGTATGTGATTCAAATCACATGTTAAGCTTCATGAGCCGTCAAATCAATCTCATTGTTTTGGGAACATGTGAAGAAACTGTCTTTTTAGAATAAAATTACAAGCCTAACTCTGTCTTATTGGTTTTTAATGAAATTTGGAATCTAAGTGTAGGGGCAGTGTAGGGTCAGGAACGGACCACAGTGCAGGTTTTCTGATCCAGCAGACCGGGTAAAGGAGGAGTCAGAGTCCTTAGTGGGTTTTTTGCAGGTCTTTTATTGGGGTTCACCAGGCATATGGCAGGCAGGGGTGCTGGCTGGGGGGCTGGGAGGCTGGCAGGCCTCCCAGCCCCCAGCAAGTCTTCACTCTATCTGGGCTCTCGGTGTTCTCTGCTTCTGCTACTTCTTTCTCGGCTTCTCTTTTGGCTTCTGCTGGCGTCCCCATGACACCACCCTTAAAAGCCCAGTCTCAGCCCAGGTGAATCCCATCCACCTATGCCCACACCCTACTCCAGGTGCCCGCCATCAGGCATGCATTCAGGACCGCAAGGATCCATCAGCTATCCTGATGTCAGGAGGGCAGAAAAGCCTGACATTTTTCCTTACCCTACAGGCAGGAATGACACAGGGCAGGTTTTCTAATCCAGCGGACCAGGTCAAGGAGGAGTCCTGGAGCCCTCAGTGTCTTTTCAGGCTTTTATTGGGATTTACCGGGTACATGGCAGGTAGGGGTGCTGGGGGGCCGAGAGGCTGGCAGGCCTCCCAGCCCCCAGCAAGTCTTCACTCTGGGTTCTCCGGCCTTCTCTCAGGTTCTCTCTGCTCTTCTCATTGCTCTACTTCTCTCTCGGCTTCTCTGTTCCTGCTGCTTCTCTTCTCTCGGCTTCTGGTGTCCCCGTGACACTGCCCGTAAAAGCCCAGTCTTAGCCCCAGTGAATCCCATCTACCTATGCCCACACCCTACCCCAGGTGCCCACCATCAGGCAACGCATTCGGGACCACAGGGTTCAGTCATCTATCCTAATGGCGGGAGGACAGAAAAACCTGATACTTTTACATTACCCTACACTTTTTTTTTAAATCTAATTTAAAATTTTTTGAAAAATGACACCTCCTTGGGCCTGCT